TTTTTGCTCTCTACTAATTTGCGTGGTCGCTGTTGAGGATTTGTCTCTTTTAACAAACTCGAGTCTAGGTTCGAATCCGGCCAGGGCAGGTAAAAATTTATTAGGCCGATTGCATCTCAAGCATAATCCTCGTGCCTATATGCCATAACAGGCGAGGTATGGGATAATGGAATAATCTTACTAATTTTATAGTCTACTAATTTGTTTATTACAATTTATTCAAATAAATTTAGTTCATATATTATTTTACTTCTATCAATAATATTAATATAATTTTATATATTTATTTTTACTTTGTTCTTAATTATTTATATTTGTTTTCCTTTTGTCTATATAAGTATATTGTATGAATGGATAACTTATTGCCCTTGGGTGCGGCAGATTGTATTATAATTCAATAAATAAATTTGTTTTTAAATTTAGGAAGGATATATCATATAGACAGTGTTTAAAACTATTGCTCAGGACATTATGTAGCAGCAAATATATATACATATATAACTAATAATATTTACTTTAAAAAAACAAAAAAAATTGTGTACTAACAAAATAAATTTTTATTTCTATCATGTATTGGAGAATATTTGCTAATTATTTATTGTAACTTTGATATTGAACGTCGAATGTACTGAAAGTTAGTAATTTTGAAAGTTTCTTCTAGGTTGCCTATATAACCTATCAATAAAAATAAATGGGAATTAAAGTTAAAATCTTAACATTAATAAGAAAAAAAATTATCCATTAGTTAGGTAATAGATCAGAGAAACGGCAGTTATATGGCTGCCAGGTCTAGATGGCTGTGGCTGATTTACGATCAAGGAGCCCCGCCACTGCAGACCAGATCGCTATTAATTACCCACTGCCCGTTTTATGTTTTATTTAATTACCTCTCTTGTAATTGGCTGGTAGCCGTGCAGGGAATATTTACTATTGGTAATAAGTTTGTCACAGCCGGGGCCCGGTAATGGAGGGTATCAGCGCGTAGAGAATTATTGAACAAAGGCATCAGCGGTGAGAGACTTATTGAGCGGACAATATTGACTCAGAAGGCTATCGGCTCTTAATGATACCCCGACAATAATTGTAAATCAGCCGAGAGTGAAAGTGTAAGAACCGGTAGCCTGGGAGCCGCTCTCTCAAATTGGACAATTATACTACTCAAATAGTTTATGCCCCTCGTTAATCTTGGCACACATTTTTTTTTCCTCTCTCTCCTTTATAAATCCAATTAGCTCAGTATTTTCAGGCTAATGTGTTAATTTGTATTCGGGTATACATATATATTTTTTTATACTAATAGTTATGGGAGGGTTTTTCGTCCTTAAACATTAGTCGATTATCTTTAACGAATCTTAGAGCATGTCGTTAGCATTTACATTGCCAAGTTAAATGTGAAAAAGCGGCTCGGTATTATGTTTTAGAAACGTTTTCGCAATTGCTGTATTTTTTTATTTATTTCTATAATAAGGCGATTTTTCTCAAACGTCAGCAGAGCAGGAAAGTCGGCAACTAATTGCTGGGAGTGGGAACAAATTTTAATTTGTTATTTTCTTGCGTATTATAAATTACCATAATTGCAATTAACACCTGATCTAATCAATCTCAATAATCTTGTAATTTATAATACCATAATAGATTTAACAAGCATAAACAATGTGCATAAGAAAAAATATATTAATATAATTACATGAAATATATGCGTAAATTAGCCTTTTAATATAGTAAACTCGTTAATCGAAAAACACCTATATATATGTGTATGAGTGTGTGTTTGTGTATTTTTACTAATAACTATGTTTTTGTTATTTTCGTATCGTTAATATTTCGGACGATAAATATGATCCAAATTCAAAAATATGTACTTTAACGTTAAGCATCATTAAGAGAGTACTTAATTTTGCAAAGAACCGTCGATATTTTTTACAGAAATTCACTAGCAAAGTATACCTGATTTTTCGTTTATTAAAAGAAAGAAAAATGCAAGATTTATCAAGGGAACTGGCATTTCATGTGGATATAATAACCTTTAAAAATTAAAGGATTTTATTTATTACATTATTATTATTGTTAAATTAACAGTAATATAAAGAAAAATATTGATATTTTTTTCTCATGGTACAATTAATGGGATTTTTAATGTAAAATAGCATTACCGTTTTTTTTTTTATTTTTTTTTATAAAGCTTCTTTAAGAATATTAATATCCTTTTCTCTTTGAGGGTAGACATTTTCATTGACAATACATAATGATTGGAAATGGCTCTATTAAAATTATATATGCATAAATAGATAAATATATTTATTAATAGCATTGCAGTCATTGGATGACATTAATAAAGAACATTATTGTGGTTTGCAAAATTTAGTTGAGATTTATATTGAATATTGTTATACATTAATAACAAATATACATACAATCAACAAAATTAAATAAAACTATTTTTCAAGTAATAACTATTCTTTATAAACTATGAAATTTATAATTTCAAGAACTTAGGTTTAAATATATTTATATCTCATTATTTGTCATAAATAAATGGGCAAGCTATTTTCATGAAAATGAAATATAGAATAGAATTTAAATAAAAAATTAATGGCATTAGCTGTGTGTGAGTAAATAACTATTAATGAATAACTAATTAGCACACTGAAAAAATATACATCAAATGATTTTTATCAGTGAATTAAAAATAAAATAATTAATAGAAAAATATATTAAATGTAACTGAAGCCAATAAGGATAAAAAATAAACTTATCCTTCCTTATTTTTTACAGATGAATGAACTGTTATGATGTGAAATAATTGGCTTAATATTTTTAGGTAAAATGTAAGCCAATACTGCTTGAGGTTATATGTAATCGTCTACCGACACAAATTATTGGAATCATTTTATTGATAACAAGTCACCACAAATAATTATATTATATTGTGTTAGTGTATTATAGAATAAGAGATTTATACTAAATATTGAATACACTTCAAATGATTATAGTTACATAATATAAGCAGAGGTGAATAGTTTTTGTGATAAATAGTTTTAGAAAAAGATGACATGCATTATGAATATAATTTTTGTTTTAAATATATAAAATCAACTATGAAAGATGGAGTTATTGATTTGGATAAATTTTATAAATATTGAACTAGAATTGGATAAATATAGCAATCAAAATTGTAAAATCGATTATGTTTTACAAATGTGATAAATAAGAAAATACCGTTATCTTGACATATAATTCAGCTTTCAATAAAAGAATTCACATTTTAACCGGGATTGACATTTGAAATTATTTTATTTTCTAGTAATTTAGAAAAGGTATAATATATAATAGCAATAAAGTTATGTATTTTATAGAGTACTTTTGGTTCTTAAATCTTATTCTAAATTATAAAGTTCTTTACCAAATAAATCAAATAGAAGATACATTTAATAACAGGAAAAACAACTAAATAAAAGGTACAAATAACAAGTAGTATACACGATATTTAAAACTAGTCTTGTATTCATATTAAGTTCTTTATTATCAAATAAATATATTATTCAAGTTTAAAGTAACATTGAATTTTTTAATGGATTGGAACAGCTACAGGACAGAACTTTAAATATTTGATTGATTTAAAAACTATTGTTGATGTTTAAACTATTTTCAATCCAATAAATATATAAGAAAAAATAAAATGCAATGCAACAAACACTTTTAGTTTGCCAAAAGAAGAATCTTATAACAGAACGAATGATTTCAAATAAATATCAAATTTATTTTGAATTTTCTTTTAGTAAAACTCTCAAAGATACAATAAAAATAAATGAAATGCCGCTTTAAGTTCAAAAGTCCTAAAAAAGAACACAGATCTCATAACAAGTTGAAACGGTCTACAGAAGCTGACGGCACACAAAAACTGACAAGCAGAAAAAAAATATACAAGTACTCCAAAATGGTGAATCAGTCTTTTGAATACACCCGGCACTCACAGTTTAATTTTTTTGTGGTGAGTCTTGATAACTCACTTATAAAATTAACAGATATAACTAATTTAATTTTATAAAATTTTGTTAACAATGGACTGATTGTAACCTAATGCTATCAATCAAATTGGTCATTTTGTTCAATTACATCGGTTTCTCATTATTTATGTTACAAAAGGCGGTGTCTTTGATATGATTTTGATTTATTGGTTGGTGCGATAAGGTTACTAAACAAACAAGGTCCGATTCAATTTGTTAATTACTCCCACTTCTTTGTTGTTTTGGTATTGTGTCGATAAAGGTTAAATTATATCAATTGTGTTTACGTTATTTTAATATTTCACAAGATAGTGTCAACATAAATATCATGTTCATGCAAGAATAGTGAAAATTATTGGAATCATATTTTTTTTTTTTTAACGTAGAAATAAATCAACGAATCGTTATTTTTTTAGAAGCAAAAAATAATAATATTTAGTATAAATGGTATTTGAAATTGCACGTTTGTTATCAAATCATTATGTCACCAATTAAATAAAAAATCATCATAAATCTAAGACAGTAATATACCGATATGAGCTTTTTATATTACATTTTTTTTTTTACAAAAGAAAAATTGTAAAAATCTATTAGGACAAAAAAAATTGTCTCATCCGTCGAACATTGAATATGGGTAAGCAATTGGAAATTTTTGACAGCCAAAGTACAAGATGAATGTAGAACTAACAGAATGAAGAACCGAAATTCGCTCACATTTAAGGATATAGCGTTATGTGTGATAAGGTTTTTTTAATTCCGAGAACCTTCTATTTATTTCCGCCCTCCCTTGCCTGTCGGCAACACGGACTTATGGCACAAGTTTCGCGCAACTTTTATCACTTATTCTCTATTTTAATTCATTGGAGGATGTTATAATGATCCTACTTATTTCTTTCCTTAGTTTCGTAATACGGGTAGTTATCCTGTTAGTAAACAAGAACTACCCGTTAGTTAGCATATGATTCCGCGAACCTTCCAATCATTCGTTCTGCCTTAATTATGACCACCACAATACATGAGTATATATAACTGAACATTGAGAGATCTGTTACCTGGAGAAGAAGAGAGACCGCCATGGAAGGGCGGGAAGACTGGCCCTCCTGGGAAGTGGTGGACCGGCCAGGAGGCGGTGTGCGGCGGCAGACCGGCATAGGCAGCTGCGGCGGCCGCAGCGAAGGCGGTGAAGGGAGTGGGCCTGATGGGGCCACTGGCGGGGCTGAGCACCAGCCGCTGCTGCTGGCTGTACCCCGGCTCCGGGCTCTTGTCCCTGCACACGTCCAATTCCTCTTCCGCTGAGTCATCCTCTTCTTCGGGGCTAGGACTCCTCCTCGAGTCCGCAAGCAACGCAGCCACGCTGAAGCTGATCCCTTTGGCCGCTTCGGGCGACTTGCGCTCTTCCATCTGGGGCAATTTAAGCACAGTCATACTCGGGCCTGCCAGCATAAAGTCTCAGGCGGGCATGTCACACTCGACTGAGAGCTTCGCGTCGACTGGCCTTTCCTCTTCGGGGTTCCCCCCTCTTTCGGCCCCGCCCCCCGATATTGGCCACGCCTCTCGGCTCCTCCTACTCACCCCCTACTCTTACCACTTTTCTCCCTTCTCCCCCACTTAATTATTGACGTCTTTGTTCCGACTACCCCTCCTTTGTGTGTAGGAAGTAAATTGACAGTAGCCGAGGTTTGTTAAGATAATGAACATGTCAAATGGCTAAGGATATGTTCGTGCTGTTTATTTTAAATAATTGACTGTCCCACCCTTGCGGTTCCCACACCAGCAAACTGTCTTACATTTCCTCTATTGTGCATTGCTCTATTTCGATTACCTCTCGGACCCTAATAGTCCTTTACAACAGCCTTCATTTTATTGTATCTAAAAGACGCTCTAATTAGGCTATTCTACTCTAGGTCAATTAGGCTTTTTACTAATGCAAATAAATATGTCCTGGCTACAAACGATATAAATACTTTAATACCAGAACATGGAATACAATTGTTATGATAGTTTTAGTTTAGTAACTAGCACTAGCGGATACAGGATTTAATTTTGGGGGGCTTCAGCCCGAACAATTTTTTTTTCATATACTTATTACCATAATTAATTTGAAAAAAAAGAAAGAAATTAACTACCTATATGAAATGGTGTTTAAGTGGTTCTTGAAGTCTTAAATGTAATTAAACGAACAAGAATACTTTAAGAGATAGTTTTTAATATTTTTTCTGTAAAACATGGTTATATTTTACCATTTTGGGGGGAGTCCCCTCCCTTCCTGTTGATCCGCCTTTGGTAACTAGAGATGGTACTAGGGGGGAGGGGATCATATTTCAAACCAAATTTTATTTATTGGTATTAAATAACAAATAATTGTTCCTGAATTTGATTTAATTTAACTTTAATTCAGTCAACTAAGTGGCAATGTTATGAATTTGCTATATATATATATTTCGAAATATATTACCTAAAATTACAGCACAAAATTGTTGACTTTGTTTGGTTAAGGGCGAGGATATTAGATGAGTTTGGCCAAAATTAAGCTTTTCTTCCCTGGAAAAATCGTAGCTGCTCCTATGATTTATAGTGCTAAAAAAAAAAAAATTATGTATAAAAAATTGTAAAAAATGACCCCTCTCAATATTCAAATAATTTCTAAACTTTTCGTGAAACAGAAAACTATAAACTAATTCTTAAAACGCATTAAAAAAATGGGAAATTAATATCATGTATATATTTTCAGATAACAGTCATATAATAATGCGATGGGAGGTCTTATACACATGGAAAAGCCATATTCGGTCATTATTATATTTAATCAAATAGCTAAACTAATAAAAAAAAATAATAATAATAACTTCTTAGATTATTATAAATATACTTAATATCCGAAATAAATGGTTGGGAGGTTATACCGATTATTTTAATTTATTATTTTTTTAAAATGAGTTGCTGCGACAAAAGATTTCTCCGACCGATTCCCTAGAACTTTAGAAAAGTTCTTTTAAAACTTTCTATAGTATCTCATTTTAACAAAAAATAAAAGGCTTTGACAATGTAAATAAATTCAATTATTGTATTAATATATATATATCTTTATAATATAAGAATTATTATCTTTATTAATATAATAATTCTTTAATCGCCTATTTAATACAACAAGTTTTTAGGTACATACAATTTAAATTATAAGTATATACAAGACAAAAAATCTTCTACATCAGTTAAAACCAAATGTATGTAGCAGAATACAATTGGTTTGAAATAATCTTCCAGAGCAAGTCCAAATAAAGCGAAATTTTCTATTAGTGGTGGTATAGAAGGCTCCAAACATTAATTAATCTGGATTAGCCAGATATATTTTATCTAGATGTAATGATTTAACAGTTACAATATTTTATTTAAATTAATTCAGCTTCCACATGCTAGAAATTGTTAAGGGAAAATATAAAAAATATATATCCTCATTCCTTCAATTACAGTTAAAACAAAAAAATACTTGGGTTTATTGCCCCCCTCCTTCAGATTTGGTAATAGTAAATGTATGGGATTTGTTGCTGGGGGATGCAAGTACCTTTATTCGTTATTGATTTCAGTACCATGATTCACATAAGATCTCGCATCCAGCTCGTTTCTAGTACTCTTTCCCTGTATCGGGGATATTGGCCTTAATCATTTCTTTTCTATGAGTCTGATAGTGACAGCAAGTGAAGATTATTATGAAAGCACTGACGTAATCAATGGGGAAGTGGTGACGGAAGCACCCTTAGATGCCTAAAGACAGTAGTTTTATTAAAATTGAACTATTTTATTAACACAAGAATTTAAAGTTATATTTTCTATAGTTTGGCCATTAAGAATTGAGACACATCTTATATATCATTTTATGTTAATATTAGAAATTAATGCCTTAATATTGCCTCTATTAATGTGTAAAATGAACGATTATTTTTATAACAGTAATAGAGAAAAATATAATGGGAATAATATACAAAATACTTCTATTAACACATGCATTTGGGGCATTGGGGTCGTAGAGTATTTCCGGCAATCCAGAGTCGGACGGATTGACATTCTAAGTGGACAAAAAAGGGTTTTCTAAAATCCCATTACATATCTATGTATACATATATATATATATATATATATATATATATATATATATATATATATATATATATATATATACATGGGCGGATCTACGGGAGAGAGGGGGGGGAGGGCTAAAACTAATCAAAACGGCTATCGGTATAAAAAAGGATCTTCTGTTAGTCATTTATTTTATCATGAAAAAATAATGTACCTAAAATTTCACTGGTTAATACTGTGAGTTAAAATTAGTAATGTAGCTTACAAAAAACAAAATGGTTTTGCTCTCCGTATGATGAGTTTTTAAATGTTACGCAGTAATATTTATCTCAGTGATTTAACTGGACGAAGACAGCATTTTTCTAAATCCTGATTCAAAATAATTTTTTGATTCTGGACAATTAAAATACTTTATAACAAGCCATGGTATGCTACAGAAGATCGAAATCATATCATATCCCAACTAAAATTTATTAATGATTCGAGCGATGGCAAAAAAAAATTTATTTGCAGTAGTTCCGAGGAGTTTAGGAAAACATCTGCCTCGACAAGAATATATCTTCCTCTAAAACTATTTTCCCGAAAATAAACATCTTCTATCAAAAATAATATTTGAAAAGTCAAAAATAGACAAAACAAAAAGTAAAACTGTGGAATACCGTGACAAAATATTTCAAAGCAGAACTGTTTTATATGATAGGCTATCCCTAAACAAACGTGGACTATTTCTTTTTGGCTTATAAACATTTTGCTAATTTTTTAAAGGTAAAGTTACTAATGTACATTATTTTTTATTATTAACTGATATATCAAAATACTGGTACTAATATTTTTTTTTAAACTTTTACTTTACAATAAAATTTCCGTACTAGTCAATAAAATGAGACAGAGATTATTTTTTAATTATTCCTTCTCATAATTATAATTTTATCTCTCTGTCAATTCGACAGCTCCTTAAAGAATATTAAGGTTGGCAAAATAATAAGTGAGGCCATAATTCTGCTGAAACCAATGAAATTAATGGAATTATTCAATTTTTGAAAAAAAATAAAATAATGATAATACATCTCAAGAAATTTTTTTTATAAACTTTTGAAAATATTATTTTTCCTACTAGATCCGTCATTTTACCAACTGATTGATCGGGCGGTCTTATAGAGTAATATCATATTGAACAAACTAGTACCTACCATGATTAATTTTCTGCGAGTTGTTCATTACAGTTCTTAACTTTTTTATTTTTTTTATTTTGAGAGAAATAATTAGTTTTGAAAAGAGCATGATTCTTATAGCATTATGACACAAAAGACAGTGTTAAGCATATTAAATACATTTGTATATATTCAAAGCGAATGTAAAATTCTCTAAATAATGCATTAATTTTTTATTAGTCGCTTTTATTATAATTAACATAAATAAAAATTATGTTTTTTTGAGATAGTAAAGGACATTATTACTTTAAAGTTAAGGAAGTTATATACAATCCCAATAACCAACTTTGGAAATTATGAAATATAAAATGTCTCTTGAAATGGGTTTTCGGTAGAGTTGTGCTCTTGAAACCCAAATCATAAGGGAGGTCTGTCTAAGTAATCCTTCAAGATTTATTTTATGAATATTTTATAGAATATAAGGGTACAGATCATGTCAGTACAATGCATACAAAATAGACTAATAACCACAGGCGAATCTACGGGAGAGGGGGGCTTTCGGGCTGAAGCCTCCCCAAAAAATAGTAAAATATAATCATGTTTTATAGAAAAAAAAATATTAAAAAGTATCTTTATTTATTGTCCACGTATCACTTAAGCACTATTTCATATAGATAGTGAATTTCTTACCTTTTTTATCAAATTAATTATCGTTATATATGTGAAAAAAATCCTGAATTAAATCCTAGATCCGCTATTGCTAATAACTAATGTTTTTGGTCCCAAAATTCACAGCTCTTTTCTGAGACATTAATATAACTGTAATTTCAATCGATTGTTTAAAGCCTTTTTCTCTAATTTCAACTACAAGAATGCTCTTAATGTGGAAGGCAAAAATCTTTGTATCGCAAAACTCGTTTGGTGATTTCAAGGCACTTAAGATTAGAGCAACCATTGCTGTAGGATAATATGGCAGAAGGTTATAAAAAAAAAAAATCTAATGAAATCTGTAATGGTCGAACTTCATACGGCTGCAATCTTGACTTGTAAATAACCTGTTGAACTAACAGTTCTTCTCGCAGATAAACGAAATAAATACAAATATTAGAGACAATTTGTTTGGAACCGTACCAGCCGAAGACAACAGATACATTAAAAAACTAAAATTTAAAATCAATCGATCCGAATTTATATTCACTCCTGACGAATGCTAAT